AGAGAGAGAGAGGCAGAGACACAGGCAGAGGGAGAAGCAGGCTCCATGCAAGGAGACTGATGTGGGACTTGATCCCCGGTCTCCAGGATCACACCCTGGACTGCAGGCGGCGCCAAACCGCTGCGCCACTGGGGCTGCCCCTAGTGCCTTTTGATGGAAGCATTTAGCCCATTTACATTCAGAGTAATTATTGAAAGATTAATTTAGTGCCATTGTATTACCAGTAAAGTCACTGTTTCTGTAGATTGTTTCTTTCTGGGTCTGTGTTACTTTTGGGCTCCCTCTTTGCTTAAAGGTTCCATTTTACTATTTCTTGCCAGGCTAGTTTAGTAATCACATATTCTTTGACTTTCTGTTTGTTGTGGAAGCTCTTTGTCTCTCCTTTCATTCTGAATGACAGCCTTGCTGGATTAAGTATTCTTCGCTGCATGTTTTTCTCATATAGCGCCCTGAATGTATTATGCCAGTCTGTTCTAGCCTGCCGGGTCTCTTTGGACAGGTGTGCTACCAGTCTAATGTTTCTACCTTTGTAGGTTACAGACCTCTTGTCCAAGCTGTGTTCAGGATTCTGTCTCTGAGATTTGTAAATTTCACTGTTATATGTCAGTGGTGTTGACCTATTTATTGATTTTGCCTTTTTCAATCCCCATATTAGGGAAGTTCTCAGGTATAATTTGCACCAATATACCTTCCTTTTTAAAAAAAATATTTTATTTATTTATTTATTTGAGAGAGCACAAGCAGGGTGATGGGCAGAGGGAGAAGCAGACTCCCCACTGAGCAGGAGCCTGTCTTGGGACTCAATCCCAGAACCCTGAGATCATGACCTGAGCTGAAGGCAGACACTTCACCGACTGAGCCACCCAGGGGTACCAATACAATTTACTCTAACAAACAGACCAAAATACACCAAGAATCTAGTGTATGACTCTGTTCTCTTTGTCTATCTGATCATATTATTTTTTGCTAGTCTTTTTTTTTTTTTCTTATAAAGATTTTATTTTTTCATGAGAGACACACAGAGAGAGAGAGAGAGGCAGAGACACAGGCAGAGGGAGAAGCAAGCAAGCTCCATGCAGGGAGCCTGACATGGGACTCCATCCTGGGTCTCTAGGATCATGCCCTGGGCTAAAGGCAGGCACTAAACCGCTGAGCCACCCGGGCTGCCCGTGTTAGTCTTTTTAAATTTCATCTTTACAAGTACGTTCTATCCTTTCAATGTATTTAGTTTTTATATATAGATGTTTTTCATTCTTAATAATTTTGAGATGTAGTTTCTTCTAACAAACTGACCAAAATATACTCAGAATATAGTGTATTGCTCTATTCTGTTCACCTGATTGGTTTTTTTTTCTTTCAATTTTCATTTTTAGTTACATTCTATCCTTTCATTGTACTTAATTTTATTTTTGTACATATTTATTTTTCTTTCTTTACAATTTCAGGATCCAGTTTTCTAACAGACCAAAGTACATGAAGGATCCAGTGTACTGCTCTTTCTGTCCATCTGTCTGATTCTATTTTTTGTTTGTTTTGTTTTGGGTCTCTTCTGATTTGTTTAGCGTATATTTCTCTAGTGTCATTGTTGCCATTTTAGTATTTTCTTTTCTCATTCATCTATTCTCTGGACAGAATAACAAGATGGAAAAATTCACCTCAAAAAAGAAAACAAGAGGTGATACTGTCAGGAACCTGTTCAGTATGGATATAAGTAAGATGTGGGAACTAGAGTTCAGAATAACAATTATAAAGATACAGGCTGGACTTGAAAAAAAGACCAGGAATCCTGGGTGTGACACCAGAAGAATCCCTTTCTGGAGAAAAAAAGCCTAAAATCTAATCAAGTCGAAATCAAAAAGGCCATTAAATGAGATGCAATAAAAAAATGGAGTCTCTGGGATCCCTGGGTGGCACAGTGGTTTGGCACCTGCCTTTGGCCCAGGGCGCGATCCTGGAAACCCGGGATCGAATCCCACGTCGGGCTCCTGGTGCATGGAGCCTGCTTCTCCCTCTGCCTGTGTCTCTGCCTTTCTCTCTCTCTGTGTGTGTGTGGGACTATCATAAATAAATAAAAAAATTAAAAAAAAAAGAAAAAGAAAATGGAGGCTCTGACTACTAGGATAAATGAGGCAGAAGACAGAATTAGTGATCTAGAAGACAAAATAATGGAGAATAAAGAAGTTGAGAAAGAGAGATAAACAGCTACTGGATCACCAGGGCAGGAGTCAAGAGATAAGTGATGCCATAAAGCAAAACAATACTAGAATGATTGGGATCCAAGAAGAGAAAAGGTAGGGACAGAAGGTATATTGGAGCTGGGGAACTTGGATGGCTTTGGCTCAGGTCTAGATCTCGGGGTCCAGGGGTTGAACCCCTTATTGGGGGCTCATTGTACTCTCTCTTTCTCAAATAAATAAATAAAATCTTAAAAAAAAATAGAACAAACTGTATCCCAAAATTGTAAAAGAAAGAACAACATATATACACAAAAATAGAATACTATGAAAGGATATAATGTAACTGTAAAAATGAACATTTTAAAAGGTGAAAAAAAGAGTTGGTAAAAGAAGAAATTCATTGAAAAGGGAAAGAGAAAAAAAGGTTAAAATGGAAAGACTAAAGCATCGTGGGAAAGAACTCATGAATTGTATATAATTTTTCCCCCTAGTGGTGGAGTTTAGCAGTTCTCTGTGATCAGTAAACTCCATCTTGGCTGCAGGGTCTGGCTTATCTTCTGGGGAGGGGCCTGTGGCCTTGATTCTCAGATGTCCTTTCTCTGGGTGGAATCGCACTGCCCTTGCCAGGCTAACTTACCTGCTCCAAATTGCTCTAGGTTGATTTTGTTCCCGAAGGCTTTCCAGGCTGCTCTAGAGGGGAGTGAAAATGGTGGCCCCTTACTCTCCAACCCTGGAGTGCAAGCTCAGGGCCCCCAGGGAAAAGCAGTTCATCCCTCTTGTCTCCCTGATCCCTGTCCGCACTCTGCTCACTCAGCCTGGGACCGAGTGTTTCTGTCTCAGGCACACTACCCTGTCTGGAGTCTCCAAACCCTGCACACTCCTGTGGTGTATACCCATGCAGCTCCACCTGGGGGAGGGAGGAAAGTCTCCTGGAGGTTCTCCTCTTTTCTGGGCTCCTGCTCAAGGAGCAGTAGCCAACCTTCCCTCTGTTCTCAGTCTCTGGCCACCCCAAGCTGAGAGCCGGCTCCTGGGCTTGGTGATTGCAGCCCACTTCCCCACCCCAAAACCCGGGAACTGTGCCACATTCACACCCCTGTCTTCCCATGATCGCAGGGATCCTGAGACCACCCTTGTCACACCCAGGATTCCACCCCGCTGAGCCACTGAGCACCTTCTAGGCAGGGACATCTCACATGGGAGCAGACTTCTAACTGTTCTGATGTTGTGCTCTGCTGCTCCATCAGTTAACCCACTGCCAGAGGCTCTCTTCCTGTGGTCTGTCTTCCAATAGATGGCCTCTGATTCACTTCTGCCTTGCCGGTCACTTTGTATTTTTAGAGTTGCAGCTACTCTTTTCTTAGATCTCAGGTGAGTTCAGAAGTATTAGTTGAATTCCTGGGCAGATGGAGCTGAGGGCTCCTCTTCCTCACTGTGTTAGCCAGCCTCGCAGGTGGGCCCTCTGACCTGAAAACTTGTCCTTCAGCACTAAGACATTTTCTCAGATACTTTTAAATCTTTTGTTATGAAAAATTGAAGAGATAAAAGTAGAATAGTGTTTATGTCATGCTCACAGGCCTCTGTACCCCCAAGGAAGCAAAGCCCAGACACAGATGCTGTCATTAACTTGTTTCCCGGCAGGTCTTTTTCTGTGTGGTTTCCTCTTGCTGCTACCACTTCGCCAGGTTTGTTTTCTGACTTGTTCTCAGTCATGTTTTGCATATTTGGGGGTTTGGGTGTTATTTTCTCTTTTCTGGGGGATTTCTTCCACTTTACCTGCCCGACCCTTCTTTCATTGTTTTAGCTCCCTGAGGATGAGTGATGTCTGAAATGCTCTTTTCTGTGAATTTCTCCCATTTCCTCAGATTTGCTCTTTTCATTTGCATTGGTTTCTAATCCTTAAACTGAGAACTTTTGACTCTCCAGTCCTAGGGCTATGGTTGTGCTGTCCTCTGCCTGGCTGTGGGCTGCAATGGGACCCCCACCCTGGGACACATCATCTCCTTTCCTGGCTTGTTGTCAGGGTTTGCAGCACCATTGGGTGGGCTGACCTCTCGCCTCATTGCTTGTTTCTAGACTGTGTGTCCTCTAGGCCGCACCTTGCCTTTGTCCCATACCTGGGCTGTCATGTGTGGCTCCTGCTCCTCTGAAGGTGACTCTACAGCTCTGGTCCCTGGGCTTGTCCGTGTGTCATGAGAATGTGCTGGCCAGGGGTCCATGCCCTACAGAGTCCTTATCTTAGGACTTTGTTCTATAACTCTGTGTATTTTTAATGACATTAATTGGTGTTTTTCTCATTATTACTCATTAAAAGTAATAGAAGTTCATTTTAAAAGTTTGAAAATTACCAAACTTCAGTGAGAGAAGTAAAAATCATTTATGAGGGGATCCCTGGGTGGCTCAGCAGTTTAGCGCCTGCCTTCAGTCCAGGGCATGGTCCTGGAGTCCCGGGATCGAGTCCCACGTCAGGCTCCCCGCATGGAGCCTGCTTCTCTTTCTGCTTGTGTCTCTGCCTCTCTCTCTCTCTCTCTGCATCTCTCATGAATACATTTAAAAAAATATTTTAAAAATTAAAAAAAAATCATTTATGATCTCACTCTCCTGTGACAACCACAGTTGGCAGGTATTTATATATACAAATTATGAAAGAGAACCATTGGATTACATGCATGTAATTTATTTTCTTTCTAAAAATGGGGTTATACTATAAGGTATGGGTAGTAGATTATGTCATGCATTTTGTTTTTTGATCATTATTGGAATTGTAACCCTGAGAACTAATTTGAGTCATAGTTGATGTGGTTTTCATGTTTTCTCCTGATCCAGAGCAGATAAAATACCCCCATCTCTGTACTCTACCTACTGCCAAGCCTGCTCCAGTGCCGCAGAGAAGAAGCCGGAAAGTAAGATTAATAGGTCTCCCTGTCCCTGAGATGAGTACCTTTCTGCTTCTCCGGTCAGGAGGTGTGCAGGGGACTCCTCAGCCAGTGCTGGTCTCGCTATGTCAGGAGAGACCCACCTCACTTGTCAGGTCACAGGCTCACAGGCGCCCTGAGAAGTTAACAGGCCATCTCCCTGATGTGCTGCGTGAGCCTATGATATGGTTTCTGCTTGCTGTCCTGATTCAGAGGACCAGGTGGCCAGGCTTTGAGGCCTAGAGAGTTGATTGTGAAGCAGGGTGTAGTGGGTGGTCTGTGATAGCTTGTTTAAATGGTTGAATTGTTCCATACTGGGTTGGGGATCACTCACCTCCTAGGGATCGGTGGTATAGACCTAGGTCCAGTCTGTGCCAGCATGCATGACACAGCGGTGCTTGGAGCCACTTGCTGGCCTGTTCCTGCCTTTCCCGTTCTCTTCACTAACAGGGCGATGGTAAGAGGGCCTGTCCTCCACTTGGTGAACAGTAGTGTTTGTTTGCTGGTTTAAGTCCTTTGACTTGTGCAGAGTCTCCTAGGCTGAATGAGGGGGTGTTTTGTAGTTCTGTCTGCCAAAAACCTTCCTTTTATGTGCTTGGATAATTTCTCATAGCACAGAGACTCAGAAAACTTGAGAGGGCAAAGAATGAAGGTCCCTGGTCTCACACTTGTTTGCACCAGTGTTGACACGGCTCCCCACTGTGCTAGGGGTGCCAGGGAGGTTGTAGGGCTGTGTCCAGTGTTTGAGAGGCATGCTCCCCACCGACTCAGCCCTCTGGCCTGCCCTGGAGGCCTTGAGAACATTTTCTATACTTTTTCTGGCAGAAAGCCTTATGATTTCTGGTTTTGTCTTGGTGTTTGTCTTGTGAGGCTCACTGCATATACACAGTGTCTTCTCCAGTGATACCACACCTCAAACTTGTTTTTATTTTATTTTATTTTTTTAAAAGATTTTATTTATTTGTGAGAGAGACAGGCAGAGACACAAGCAGAGGGAGAAGCAGGCTCTATGCAGGGAGCTTGATGTGGGACTCAATCCTGGGACTCCAGGACCACACCCTGGGCCAAAGGCAGGCGCTAAACTACTGAGCCACCCAGGGATCCCCTTGTTTTGTTTTTAAAACATACGTAGTGTGTCTTCCTTTTTGTAATGAAAACTGTATGTTTGGGGAGCCTGGCTGGCTCAGTCATTGGAACACGCAACTTGATCTCAGGGTTGTAAGTTCAAGCCTCATGTTGTATATAGAGCTTAACATTAAAAAAAAGAAAAAAAGAAAAAGAAAAATTGCGTTTGAAGAAACATTTTTCTTTTCTTTCTTTCTTTTTTTTTTCCCCCTTAGAACACACATGCAAGTAGTGGGAAGGGGCAGAGGGAGGGGGAGGGAGGGAATCTCAAGCTGACTCCATGCCCAGCATGGAGCCTAATTCGGGGCTTGATCCCAGGACCCTGAGCATTACATGAGTTGAAATCAAGACTTGGATGCTTAACCGACTGAGCCACCCAGGTGCCCCAAGAAATATTTTTCTTTTACAAATATGTGATCAGATCTACTCTGTTTTTATAAATCTATGAAATAATATGTTGAGAACTGGTAGTCATCTCTTGTATACTAATTCTTAGCTTTGGGCTCCCTGCTAAGTGCGGAGTGTACTACCCCTGCTTGTGTCCTCTCTTTCTCTTGCTCTCAAAAAATTTTTTTAAGATTGTAATTATTCATGAGAGACACACAGAGAGGCAGAGACATAGGCAGAAGGAGAATCAGGCTCGCTGTGGGGAACCCGATGTGGGACTCAATCCCAGGAATCTCAAGTGGACTCCATGCCCAGCACGGAGCCTAACTCAGGGCTGGATCCCAGGATCATGACCTGAGCTGAAACCAGGTGCTCAACCACCGAGCCACCCAGGCACCCTGTAAACAAGTTTCTGATATGGTTAGTGTGCAGCAGTGAGCTCCTTGTAGAGTCCTGGCGCCTCTGTCTGCCCTTTTCACAGAGAAGCCATGTCCAGTCGTGTGTGTGTCCTGTTATCCCCCAGATGCTGCCCTGGGAACAAAGACGGAAGCCATCTGTGTAGAACCCCTGGGACTGCTTGCAGCTGCGCTAAGAGAGCTCAGAACCACGATGACAGACCCCACCCAGTATGATGGTGAGGACGTTGCTGTGGGCCGGGCTATAGGCAATGGATATTCGTGGGCTGAGCCAGCTGTGGCCAGAGCTCAGTGGCAGAGTGTGGTAGTTAAGCCTGACCACAGCCATCTGCTTCTGCCGAGCCAGCCCTACATGTGGGGGGGCGGGTGGACGTCAAGGATGCGCATTGGGCTTTCCCGTCCGCCGCCATCACCTGCATTTTCCTGTTCATCTAAACGCGTTTCTCCATTTGTAGTTTTTTCTGCTCAGATGGCGGTGGTTTCTGAGCGGCTCAGCTCCGCCCTGGGCCTGGGTGAGGAGGATGGCAGCTTTGAGGAATCACAGGTTCAGCTCAATATCTTCTCTCCAGAATTGGAGCCGCAGGACCAGCAGGTGAGTGCAGGATGCAGACAAGCCTCTTTTCCAGCCCCGTGTCTTGCCAGGTGAACTGTGTATGTGGAGACGCCCTTGTGCTGGGCCTGCTTGGCCCCAGCCTATTTGTGGACAAACTCTTTAAATTTCTAAAGAACATGCAGCAGAGGCCATTTGCAGCACCAAAACCTCAAATGATTTCTTTCTCTTTTTTTTTAAATTTTTTTTTTATTATTTATTTATGATAGTCATACAGAGAGAGAGAGGCAGAGACATAGGCAGAGGGAGAAGCAGGCTCCATGTACCGGGAGCCTGATGTGGGATTCGATCCTGGGTCTCCAGGATCGCGCCCTGGGCCAAAGCAGGCGCCAAACCACTGTGCCACCCAGGGATCCCTCAAATGATTTCTTCTTTGGTCCTATAGACGAGGTGTGCTGGTGCTGTTGTCCAATAAGTTTGATGGCTGGGACTGTGGGACACTTGGCCTGAGGTCTTGCAGGATTTGGGACTGGGGTTCTGTGCCAGTCAGTGTGGTGGTTTCTTCCACAGATACACTCCTGCTTTGCTGTATCCGTGGTGTAAACCGGCTCACGCATGTTGCTCTGTGCCCTCTGACCATCTGTCTCTTGTCAGGTCGTGGATCTCCTGTTGACATCTTTTTGTCAGAACCTGATTGCAGCCTCTGGCTTCGCCCCTCCAGACAGGTAGAGGCCTGGGGTTTCAGCTGGGTGGTGTGGAGCTGTGCTTGGGCAGCCTGGGTGCTCCGCACAGGTTTCCCTCATGGACTGGGGCTTCTCCCTGTTCTGCATGATGAGGGGCATGGCTGCCCATCCTAGTCCAGCTCTGACCCCAGGCCCTGGGTCCTGCCTTCTGACTTCTGTCCTGGTTGGGGGTCCCAGGTAGCGAGGGGCAGTGCTGATGTTTACCAGGTGGACACCTGGCAGACGTCAGGCATCAGTGCAGGAGACCCGCTTTTTAGGGAACAGCCCGGTTGCCGAGGCCTCCCCTATGCCTCCTGCTCATTCCCCACGGGAAGGCTGGGCAGGGCCAGGGCTGGTCAGACTGCTGGTCTCGGTGGCTCCCCCTGCAGGCAGGGCCCCTGGGCTGCTCACTTCGTGACAAGCCTGTGTGGACACCGGCTTCTACCCATTGTGCTCACCAGGCTTTGCCAGCTGCTCCGTCACCAGGTAGGGCTGCTGCCTCCATCCATCTGGGAAGTGGGCTTTGTCCTCCTCCCTGTACGATTACTGTTTCCCGTTTTAGGGCCCAAGCCTGAGTGCCTCCCACGTGCTGGGCCTGGCTGCCCTGGTCATCCACCTGGGCGAGCGCAGGCCTGCAGTCCCTGAGGTGCACGTGGCTTCTCCCGCCCCCGTGAAGAGCCTCCCCCTTCCAGAGTTCTTGAGTAGCCTCCTGACACTTAGGACCACAGAAGCCTCACTCTTCTGCCTCAAGTGAGCTGTTCCTCCCGTCCCTCCGCAGTGCCTCTCCACTCCACAGAAGTAACATTCTGATCACGTAACATTGGCAAAAACTGACACACTCCACAGATAATCACTCTTTAATATTTGGCATATGTCTTTCCAGAGTCTTAAGTTGTATTTGTGTGGGTGTTTCTTTGTTTACAAAAATGAGATCCTACTACCCTAAAACCTGCTTTCTAAAATGTTAACAGACCATAGGCCCCCTTCCATGCTGTTGGGCCATCTTCAGGGGTTGTGGTGAGCGTTACTGGTTTTGTCTCGGGAGCTCCTGGCATTTGGTCGGATCTGTGCCCCTGGTGAAGCTGCTGGGTTTCTAGGGGGTGAGTTCCTGCCCATGGAGCTGCACTGTCCAAAGAAACTCATCTGAAGGGGTTTTGAGACCCTTCATCCTACAAGTTTGTGCCAACATACACCCCCACAGTTCTCTTATCCACCACTGTGGGTCAGACCCACCCGGGGGGAGCCCCAGTGCTGCCCTTCTGTGTGGGGGCAGCTGGGAAGTTGATAGCATGGTACATGGGGGTGGTCGGTGCTGGGAGAGAGGTGGGCTGGTGAGGGCAAGAGCAGCTGTGCATCCCAGGGTGGGCAGGGCCCTGGGAGTCTAGATTTACTCAGTCCCAGGGTGAGTAGATGAAGGGTCAGGCTAGAAGCCAGGAAGCTCCAGTGCGAATTGTTTGCTGGGCCTGGGATTGCGGTTTGTGAGCAACTCCTAGAAAGCTTAAGGGGTGGTAACGAGTGGGCAGACACAAGCACCAGGGTGCTTGCCATGGTCCACTTGTGCCCCCCACAGTGGGAGGCAGAGTGACCCAGCCTGGGAGCTTTTGTCAACATCAGTAGTCACCACTGGCATCCAGTCCTGAAGGTGGGTCCCACTTCCTTCCTCACACTTTCCTGACGCTCCTGGGCCCCAGGGACAGCCTCTTCCCATTGGGATGTTCTTTCTCACACTTCACAGCCCAACACAGGTGGGCAGAGGCTCCTCCCGAGGCTGAGTTTGAAATTGGGGCTGCTTCTGTCCTGTTCTGGACTTCTTTCAAGAAGGAACAGGGAATGATTTGCTAAGACTTGAGTGAGTGGAAACCCTCTCAGATGATGCATCAGTAACGCTCCAGACACATCTAACTTAATTCCTTGTGTTCTTGCTATGACTGCTCTTCATATGCGGTGAAAGCAAGCCCTCACTTGCACAGTCTGTCCATTGGTGTGTTTTCTGTGTCTGTGTTGTGAGTGTGGACAGAGCTCAGACTCACACATGTGACACATGGGCCAGTTCCTCGGGGCCCAGGAGACCAACCCTCAGGCCCTCTGGTTTAGGATACAGTCAGTTCGCTTTTGTGAAATTCACACTTGTTTTTATTTCATCCCGTATTTTGCATGGATCACATTTCTACATTGTTTTTGCTTCCTACTTTCAGATTTTGTACAGCAGCAATTTCTTACTCTTT